TAACTTGTCCTCATTAAACTAATGGGTTGCTTTGGTCTTGAACAGATTCAGCCTATCTTCTTAAACCAACTGGTATACTTCACCTTGTAAAGAACTGATTATATGTGTGTGTGTGTGTGTGTGTGTGTCCATGTACACACACAAATACACAGATAAATGTACACACATGTATGTATCCAGATGCTGTCTTGGGTGAATGAATAAAAAAAGCATTAGCAATGGGAATCATTTTGTATATACATAATAGGGGCTGGCGAGACTCTTTTTTTTTTTTTTGCAAGAATCAAACAGTGAAAATGCAAATTTCAACCAATTACTTTGCAAAATGAACAGAAAAAATCACTAGGATTGTTTAGTGAGAGTGGCTTCTGTGCAGTCCCTGGGGTTAAGTGTTAAGTCAGCCCAGTTGAGTAAAGCATATTCATACCATGTAGCCTGTACATGCCAGTTACTTCTGAGGGTCCATGTGGGGCATCTCCCCCTCTCTCTTCTGTACTGGGGGTGGAGTGGTGAGAAAGGACTGGTTTTGGGGAAGGTTGCTGACTGCATAACTGCTAACAGGCCATTTTGAACACTGCTTGGAGCAAAAGTGAGAGTCTTCCAAAGCACTGCATCCTGGAAGGGCTCCATGCTGCCTGGAGAGACTTCCTTGGGATGAGTGGGGGGTGGTCATCATCATTCATGCCCCGCAGGTCTCTCTAGGATCATCTATCCTGGGCCCCACCCCGGGACCCTGCCCTGTGTCAACAGGCAGCACTGTCAGGGACATGCTCTGTGCCCACAGACCCAGCATTGCAGAGTGGATGTGGAGGACCTGGGTGGTTGTGGATGAAAGGATGACACTGTGTGCCCCACCCTGCCTTGAAGAGCTGCATCAGAATGGGGGGGTGGGGGTGGGCAAGTAGAAAAGAGTATATAGTTGGGACCGAATGAGGAGGTTGTGCCCAGGGGTCTCGAAAGAGCCACCACTTTAAGGCTTTTTGGAAGGGGGCACCTCCTCCCTGGTGCCAGAAATGCCAGCCACCTCTGGGCCTTTCCACGGTGTGTCTGCCCTTAGGAAACAGCAGAAGAACCAGACTAGCCAGAGTGGAGGCCACCTCAGCAGGCCATGGGGCGATGCCACAGCGGCTGAGGTCCAACAAGGCAGGGCTTGCTTAGCCATGGAAACGCATTTTCTTATTTATATGAAGCGTTGAAAGAAAGGAAAGGAAAAAACACTGGAGGAGCTTATTTTGTAAAGTCCACACCATGATGAGGAAAAAGGAACCATGTCATAAAGAAAGACATCCCAAACGTGCAGTAGATGCCTTCAGCTTTTACTCCAGATCTCGTAAGTAAACACGGAAGACTCACACAGAACAGAACTTAATGCATACATGGGTTTGGCAAAGCCTTTTTTTCCCTCGCACAAATTTCCCACCATTAATAAGTACAGCCCTTTTTATTTTCTTAACTAATGTGAAGCACATTTTGATAGGTTAAGTTTATTTTTCCAAAGTAGAGTGGTTTGCAAAACAAGTTTGCAGATGCTAAAGGAGAGGGTGAGAACCAAGGGTACCCGGAGTGAGGGTGGGATGTAAGTAGAGAAAACTTTATCTGGAGTTGCCAAATTCCTGATGGTAAGCTACTAGAATTGATAAATCATTTTGGAAAATATTAAATTTGTAAAGTAACAGATCCAAACTTGTCAGAAGCCCACTCCAGCCACTGGGTGGTAACAGGTAAGAAAAAGTCCACAGTAACTTGGTGAATATAAAGTATTCATTTCAGAGGAAAGGTGCAGTACCAAAATCCATGGGCAGAAAAAAAAAATCAAGCTTCCAAAAAAGAAAGAAAACATTTACATATTCCCACTTTCAGAGAGGATGTGAACAAATAGCGAAAAGCACTTAAACCCAAGAGCCCGCAGTGTGGAGCCCCTTCCCACCTACGGTTACCCTTCCAAGGGGACAACCCTGTGACAATATAAGGGCACAAAATATTGCTCTGTGGCATATTCTGGAAATAATATAAAAATAATTTCTATGGTACAGTTTAAACTTGGCTTGTAAAATTTCAATGTAACATAGCATAAAATCTACAAACAGAATACACGTAAAAACACCTTCCTTTAACAATATATTATTTGAAAAAAATCAGATACCCAGGTCTCGCATGTGCGGGAAATGTGAAGTAAATTACTAAATTAACCTCCACTGGGGTTTAGAAGTATCTAGGATCCTTCTGGAAATTTGCTGTCATTTAGAGACATCTGACCTTTCCGGAAAGGGAGTCAGGCCAGATCACACAAGGCCACTCACAGGCAGGGTCTGCCATGTACCCCGAGCCCAGGGTGTGTGCCCCAGTGTGGTTCTCAGCTTTTCTAGAACTGGGACTGGCTTTCTTCCTTTTCTTCAGTGCCTATGATCCACTTAACCTTTCCCTGATCCACAAGTGGCCCTCAAGTCACCGAAGGATATGAGACAACCTCTTGGCCCACACGTAAACAACACAGGAGTTTCTCATAGTTACTGTTCTGTCTGATAAACGAATTTGGGTTGAGAGAACTGTGGCTAGGGACCAGGTCTAAGAGCTCTTCTGAACAACACGGAACAACACGGATACAACAGTGTGTCAGGAGTGTTCCTGATACACTGGACTGGTACATTTAATATAACGGTAGGGTCGCTCCAGGTTTCAATACTGTTTAGAGGAAGGGATCCAGATCTCTCACAAAAGGAAACAGCTATTTGTAAACCATGTGGACAAGCACCCGCAGACACCCTGGAAGGCCCAGCCACCTCATGACCACGCTGAGTTGGGGGCCTTCCACATGGCTGGAGAAGCCACCCAGAGCTGGATCTCAGGCTTTTATTTATGGCATATCTGTCAGATGGGGATGGGGCAGAGGAGACTCTGAAATTCAAGGAGACAGAATACGTCATCATTTTTAAATAATACCTACAGATTACACTGCCTAGTTTAAAGGTTTTCTTGATATTACAATGGACCATGTTTATTTTTCTCAGCTTGCCTCTTTTTTTTTTTTAACCATGGCACGAGAAAGATAAAATATTTGCATAGCCAGTTTTGGAAATTTCTGGTTGGCTGTGTTAACATTAAAAAATTAAAAAACAAACATAAATTTACTTTATGCCTTCTTGACTTCGGTGCACATGAGTTTGGTTTCTAAATGCACAATTAAGCATTTTCAAGGTTGGCTGTCTCAACCTTCTAAGAGTGAGTGGCGAGAGCCACAGACAGTGTCTATATGTGGTGCAACACTTCCTGTGATCTTACAGCTTTGGATGGCAAAGCAGTTGCCTAGCAGGGCACAAAGAATCAGTCCAAAAAGTTGCCACGAACCCTCTCGATGAGAGATTTTTAAAAAACTACTTTTTTTTTCTGAGTAACAAAAGAAACCCCAGTAATATGAGGGACATGGATGTTAGTAATTACCACACATTGAAAGTATTATTCGGCATGAAAAGTAAAACTTCCAAAAGATTTTAAAGATTCTATTTAATAAATAATTTTGATTTAAGGAACCACTTATGCAAAACTTGAATTACTGAAACCCCACGTGCTGTGGAATAATTAAAAACAAAAAAGGAATTACTTACAGGAGATACTCAAATTAGTTTACTATAATTCTTCAAACAAGTAAAAAAAAAAACTCTCCCCTTTTTTAATTTTATTTTATGTATTATTATTATTTTTTTGCTGCTCTTTATGTCAGAGGGAAAAAGCATCCTTTCTGGAGAAGGAGAAGCTGGCTCCAATGAAGAGATGGTCTACCTCCTGCATTTTCTTTGGAATCACTCACAGCAAAGCTGGGCTCTCTCTCTCTTTTTTAGGATTATTAGAAGCTACTCTAAGGATCTCACAGGTTTTAAAATATTCTTTTGCTAGTGAGGATTTTACCCATCTTCTCCGTACTTCTTGGAAACAAGACCTCTCTTTAGTGAGGCAGATTTAACTCCTCAGTGTCCTTGGCCAAGAACGGCATTCTCCAGAGGTAATCTTGGAAGGAAGAGGCTGCATATTGCTGCTCAAACCAGGGTAGCTAAGGATACATATTTTATTTTTTTTCCTCAAGAAATGTAGGAGGCACCAAAAAAGGGATCGCTCAGGGATGGGGCTCCCCCCTCAATGTGTTATGGAGCCACAGGCAAGGTTATCCCTACCCTGCAGAGGGGACCCCAATGGGAGTGGAGCCCCTTTACGTAGCTGAACCCAGACAGACGCAGGTGGAGGTGGGGTTGGGCTTCCTTACGGGCTTCCCTCGGCCTCTTCCCTTTGGAAAGAGGCACAGGCCAGGTTTCAAAGCAGCCTCCTGCGGGCGGGGGGAGGGGGACGCTTTACACAGTGACCAAAGGGTCAGTCCCTCGCCTGCCTCTCTCCTGGGGACACCTACCATCACCTCCTAAGGGCCCTCCGGCGATAGTTCACTGTGGAAGTGTCTTCAAAGGAGAAATGTGAGCAGGCTGTCATCTTTGCTCATACATGGGCAATTCCAAATAGTGGTTTCAGAACCCTTGCTTTTGGGAACCAAGGTGTCTTTGGAAAGCTCCTGTCACCTGAGGTGCCCGGCACCGGGGCCATCGCTACCCCTCATCACGCCCTGCGAGGTAGGTTGTCCGGTGCCCATCCCAGGACGCCTGCGGCTTTGATGGCAGTGTGAATATTGGGCCGGGGGTCGGGGATGGGTGGTAGGAGGTTTTGCTTATGAGATGGAGCCATGTATTCCTAAAGGGCCACCGTGACGACCGGAGCGCATCAGCGGGGTGGCACCCTGCCTCCTGTCCTCCGACGACTCTGGAGGGGAAGCAGGTGTGAGCCCGCAGCACAGCCGCCGCCCCAGTTCTGGGCTGCGTGTCTGCTTCTCGACCCTGGGTGGTACCGACCGCACACGTGTGACCGCTACACGGAAGAGGTCAGTCGCTGGCGTGGGGGGTGGGGGTAGGAAAAGAAAAAAAGCAAAAAAAAAAAAAAAATGTAAAACACTCCCTTCTAAAAACAAAGGGCTGCAAATTTCTTTATTTCTCTTATTGAGGAACAAAAATACTCTTGCAATGGCTATTGAGTTTCCACAGGTACGAGGCAGATGCTAGCTAGCACACCCACTTCCAACAGTATGACTTGTTTCCTATCCGTCTACTACCTGAGTGGCGTCAGTGTAGGTTCAGGCACCATTAGGAACGTTTGACCAAACACGTACACAGCACTGACAGAGGAGTCGCCGGCCTTCCGGTTGACCAGGGCATGTAAAAAAGACACCGACAGAATGGAAAAGAAATCCTTTATGGTAAAAGCTGGCGGTGCGCGCGCCGCACTCAGGGCCGGGCCCCGCGCGCCTCGCGCCGCCGCCGCAGCTCCTCGCGGTAGCAGTAGGAGCAGTAGTGCTCGGTCTCGGCGCGCCCGTAGAACGCGCAGTTCTCGCGCTGGCAGCGCCGCTGCGCCAGCCCCGGGCCGCCGCGGCCGCACTCACCGTTCGAGCGGGCGGCCGGCGCGTCGGCGTCGGCGAACTCCAGACCGTCGCGCGCGGCGCCGAAGCCGTTGGTGTAGGTCTGCGACTTGTGCTCGGCGGTGCCGGCCGCCCCTGCCGCGCCGGGCAGGGCGCCGGGCACGGCGCGCGCCAGCGACTCGACCGTGTTGACGGTGCGCAAGGCGGCGGCGCGCGCCGGACTATAGCTCTGCGACGACAGCGAGCGGTTCTGCTGCGGGTACGTGGCGCACGGCCGCAGCGCGCCCACGGCTGGCGCGCACGCGTCGTCCCGCGCGCCCGCCGACTGCACGTGGATGACGCTCTGGCGCGCCGGCGCCGGGGGGCTGCGGCCAGGAAGCGGTCCGCTGGCGCCCGCGCGCCGCGCGCCGCCGCCGCCGCCGGGCCCCGGGGAGGCCGCGCCGCCAGCCGCCGCTCGCGCTGCCCGCGTGCCCGTCGCTGGCCCGGGACTCGGGCGCTCCTTGAGCTTGAGCACCAGCTGCGTGGGCGGCCCGGCCGGCGTGCCCGGCGAGGCGCGCTCGGGGCCTGGCGCGCCCTCGGTCTCCGGCCTGCGCGGCGGCCTCTTGGCCGTGGCGGCGGCGGCGGCGGCGGCGGCGTCGCGGCGTCGCTGCTCCTGCTCGGCACTGAAGCGCTCCTGCGCGCTGGTCAGGTAGTAGCCTATCATCTCCTCGTGGAACTGGTGCCGGTGGCTGGTGAGCAGCAGGCCGGCGAAGATGAACTTGCGTTCGCCTTGCATGGCGGCGCGCAGGATGTTGAGGCTCAGCTTCACGTCCGTGCTGTACTTCCACGCGTCGCCCCGCTGCCCGCCGCCCTTCTCGGCCGGCGACGCCCCGGCCGCCTTGTCCGTGGGCGATGGCGTGGTCTTCTCCGACGGCGACGTGCTTGCCGACGCACCCGACTCCTCCTTGCTGCCCTTGCGCGACTTGGTCTTCTTGTCCTTGCTACGCTCGGGGACGTCGCCATTCTTGCCGTTGGCGGAGTTAGCGCGGCCCATCTTGCCGTGCACAAGGCCGCCCAGGCCTCCCATGTTTTTCTTCAGCTTGATGCCCAGTGTCTTGCTGAAGCTGCCCAGCTTGTTGGCCACGGAGTCCGCGCGGGTCTTGTCCTTCTCCTTGCGTTGCTTCTCCTTCTCTTTGTCTTTGCCATTCTTGCCATTATTGCTGTTGGAATTGCTGCACACTGAGTCCCGATCCGAGTCCAGGGAGTCGGCCAGGGACTGCACGTCCTCTCCCACAGAGGCTGTTGGGGATTCCGGCTGTGCCAGAGGAGCCTGTGGGGGGAGGGGGAGGTCGAGAAAGGAATAAGGTTAGAGATGAGCCATCCCAAAGTGGGATCGACAAAGGCAGACCACCCCAGCCCTCAAGCTGCTACGTTGGGGCCCTGGGACCTCACTGCCTCAATCCAGGAAGACTTTTTGGTGAGCTCAAGTTGCTGGTAACCTGGAACTCCGAAGCGGGGAGTTTGGGCAAGGTGCAGATGCCCACCTGGCTTTGAGCCCCAGGGCCTTTGCACATTTTAGAATTAACCATGCCCAGACGCTGCCCTTCTAGCCCTGACGAGGCTGGTCTATGACCAGACCCAGGTCTAGGTCGGTCTCTGAAGAGCTAGAGGCCTTCTGGTAAGGATGACACTTCATCTGCACCGGTAGGTGTTTCTCTACAAAGATGTCTCACCTGTTCATTCCAAGCGGGGGACAGACACCTTGTCCTCACCTTAGAGTAAATACCCCCTTAGCAGTTCGGGTGATGACCAATTGCTTTACTCTAGCGGTTCCTTTCTCAGATTGTTAATGTGGTGTACTAAACTGAGGATTCTGAAACGACCTGGGCTTAGCAGGAGAAACGCTACCATTCCCAGAAAAGGTCTAGGGTGTGAGGAGGGAGCATCTCTGGGCACGGCCCTCTATCAGGAAGGCAAGGTGGTTATGGGCACCTGGTCAGGACTGTGGGGTAGGTGGGGAGCCTGAGAAAGGTGATGAATGCATGCAGAGGACCTTGTGGAGGGTCCACCTTGAGTGAAGAGAGAGAATTCTGACAGAGAGAATTCTGAAGACTGGGGACCTCATACTAGCAGCTCTGTGGCAGGAACTGGTACCACCCCTGAATGGGCTTTTCCTGGCGTCCGGGGGAGGGGCCTGGGAGAAGGCCGGATTGTTCCCTCATTTTACTTCTGTCCCCTTCCTCCCCAAGCAGGTCCAAGAGAATGGTCCAAGAGACTGCCTGCAATCAGGTCACCCAGAAGCAAGCAGGAACCAGCTTTCCCCACTTTATATTCTGAAATTCCTTCCTGTACCCACTCTGTCCTGGGTCCGGAAGGAGCTAGAGGTCTCAACAGGGTTTGTCGACGACACAAAAGGGCAGAAGCTCTGGGGTTTGCCCCAGGAAAGGGAGGTGTGCCTATTGCTGAGAGTGCCCACTCCTAGGAGCCCAGTAAGCAAGGGTCCTTGCCAGGGCCTGCATCTGACACAGGGGCCACCATGGCTTGGCAGGGAGTCCTCATTGCAGTGCAGAGCTGTCTCCCAGCCCAAGAGCCTTCTGATTCTAGATCTAGAGCTGCTGCCTTCACACCATATGTGTGTGCTGGGAAAGAACACCCACGGCAACACTGGTATAATCCAGGCAGTTGACAGGTCATTGTAGAGGTTAAGAGGCAGGACTTTGGAGCCAGACTGCCACCAACTGTCCCTTGTGTTCTCCATAAAATGGGGCATCAGTACTTGCCTCCGGAAGCCCTATGATGATGACACACAGATAAAGGCTGATGTATGAAAACATCCTGAGCAGTGCCTGACCTGTCATGGCTATTCACTCTGTCAGGCACCACCCTACTTCTTTCCTTTAATATTGTAACTTAATAACCCCACTTCATAGCCAAGTATATTGATGTCTGAGGAGGACCGATTTGTAAGCGCACGCGCTCTCCTTTTACAAATTCCTTTCCTTGAGAACTCCCTACTGAGATGACAAAAACATCAATCACTTAGAGTGAATCCTGCTTAGCATCTGGAAGGGGGACGGAACAGACCCTCCCTGGGGGAGGAGGCCGCGTGGGGGCGGGCAGCTCCTTTTCCCACTGCTCTCCCAGAGGACAGAAGGAGCGGGCGCTGAGGAACTGCGCTCTCGGTTCCCTGGCTTTTCCAAGGACCCACACACAGTTTATAATTAATTCCGCTCCGCCGCAGCACATAGTGTTCCGATGTCGGCAGAGACAGTTTTGTGTTGTAACTTGCCTACGGTTTGTTTTCTGAGTGGGTGTGTTTATTCCTTTGCTCCTGGAGAAAATAAAAGGACCAAACCAAAACGCAACTACGAAACCACAGCACACATACAAAACCAAACATCCCGGAGCCGAAGCACTCGCCTACGTACTGGCACGCAAACACGCGTGCACACACGCATCAGGTAAACCCTAGGCGCTTCTCGCTAGGGCCGGAGTGGGGCCCAGCGAGGCTGGGGGCGGCCGGGTGGGCGCAGGCGAGGCCAGGACCCAGCCAGCAGGCCAGGCTCACCCGGGTCTCGGAGGGGATCCGGATCCACGTCACGTTCATGTAGCTGTGCAGAAGGTTCAGCTTGGCTTCTAGCGACAGGATCAGGCTGGCGAAAGAAAAACACCGAGTGAAATGCGCCCCAGCCGGCCCGCGCTCGCCCGCACGCACCCCGCCCGCAGGCACGCCAGCTGTCCCAGGAGGAGCAAGGGCGGCCCGGCCCTCGCCGGGAAACCGGCGACAGCCGGCCCTCTAGGGCGTTGGGGGAGGGGCACAGGGGAGGGGCTCACTGGGCCAGCCGGGCGTTATCGTTGTCGTCTTTGCCCCACTCCCAGTCCTTCCCGGGGTCCACTGCAAAGTGCAGAGGCAGCAGCTTGTGCTCCGAATCCGTCAGGGGGATCACGGCTGGAACAGAAAAGAGAGACGCGGTGCCAGGTGGCTCTCCCTCGGGCGGGCAGAGGAGGCTCCAGGCCCCAGCAACCCCCAGGAAGCCAGGAAAGGGAGTTCCAAGACCAGGTGTCTCCTTAATTAAGGAAACCGAATGGAGACTCACTGCGCCTTCTGTGCCAGCAGGAGCGTTAAGACCGCAGGTGTCAAAACCACTACTGATAGTTTAAAATACTTCGTGCTTATTGTGGACCCTGAAGAGCGGTTGGAGACCTCACCTGGACTCTGCTGACGACTGAGGTCTGTCAGAAGGCAGGTACCCCGGTTGGGCAGCAGACAATAAAAGCTATTACTACTTCTGTTATTTCTGAGGAAGGACCCAAGCAGAGCTCTTGGTCACCTCACAGTGTGCAAATTAGACAAGCAAGGGCTGCTGGCCAATCTGTTCATTCCTGAACTCATTCAATTAAATCTATGTCAGTTCTGGGAGTGGATGGGGGTGGGGGGACCCAAGGACCTCATGGCTCCTGCCCACAGGGATCTCACAGCTAACAATTTCCTAATGTCAGTTGGTGGTTAAATACTCTGGAGAGTAAACAGCAGACTGAGGGGAGCTAAGGCAAGCCTTTCTAGGGCGGGTCAGGGAGCCTTCTGAGGAAGTAAGGTGTAGGCTTGTAGGTGGAAACTGCAGCGAGGAGAGACTGGCCCTCCCCCAGGGATCCATTCATCACAAACACTCTGGAGTGAAACACCCAGCTGGGGAAGTCTTGGCCCATCTCAGAATGGCTGGGGTGGAGTGGGGGTGTTCACAGGTTTGCCTGGATCTGTTAGAAGCTTTTGAGCTGCTGTGGTACCCAGTGCCCAGTGAGAACAGCTTGCTCCTTCCCTGGGTTTACCCTACCTCCTCCTCCTTGCTGCTTGGCCATACCCTGCCTCCCCTACCCCCACCCCCTGCCCTCGCGTGAGCCTGGTGTCATTTCCCATGATTCATGCCAAGGGTGCCATGTTCTTTTGCAAAAGGCGTTCTTTTGCAAAAACAAAAAGGCAAATAAGTAAATAAAATCTATGACTGAATACCATTAATAGTTGACTTTCTAATAAAAAAATTGCAAACATTGATTCACTGCTGCCCTCCAGTGTTGCTATAGAGAAAATATGAGCACAAATAATCCTCCACCCCCATATAAAGCAAACACAGCTTTGCTGGGGGAAATGGGTGGAAGGGTGATGGGGTTCTGTTTAAAGTGGCTGGAGACCGGCAGTATTGTGTTCTGGTTTGGTTGGTCAAGGGTGGCTTGGTCTGCCCAAACTACAAGCCACTGGGTTCTGCCTTGACATGGCCATGACACACAAGGTGCCCCTCCCAGGGTTCAGCTACAGGGCAGTCACACTCAGGGAGGGCTGCAGAGCCTGCCCCACAGTTCCATGACTCAACATAAAAGCAGAGATAGAGTTGGCCTGGCTTCCGATCCACTGGCAGGGGTGGGGGTGGTAGTGGATCCCTCTGTAGACACTTGCTGGGGCAGGGAACCTCCCTGGGGTGCTTGCTTGGTAAAGGCACTGATTCCACTGGTCCCCATGCAGATGGCCAAATCAGAGTGTCCAGTAAAAAAGACCCAAGGACTATATTTTAAATAGGCATCTTCTGTGGTTCTTAAAATCATACAAATATGGAAAATATTGCTCCAGAATGATAATCTGTTTGAAGCTGTTACTGTGGGTACAACGTGGGACTGGCTGTCCACTCCCTTCCCAGGGGAGGAGTGCAGTTGAGAGACATCTGCCCAGCCATGGCTACAATTTCCAGCCCTTAGCACTTAGGAGGGAACAGGTGCTGAGTTGTACCCATGGCATGAGAGCAGAAACAATGTGGGAAGTGCTGGGCAATATGGTTAGGTGTGGGCGGCCTTCTCCCCCCCCCACACCCCCCCCATCCTTCTGTATGCTGAAACTGGTGGTGCTACAAGATGGCAGGGGTGAGCTCCTGACTCCCCACCTGCCAATCTGGAACACCTGTTTTAGACCTTATTTGCATCAGAACCACACTTCTCTCACTATGATTTTGGTTTCTTTCAGATAAGCCAGCAAAAGCAGTACAGAACCACATGCCCTTCAGCCTCCACTCCTACCACAGGGCTCCTGGAATTTTTACCCTTAATGGCTGGACTGGAACTGACTCCATGGGCTGCCCCCTGCTGAGCAGAAGGTTGGAGTCGCCTGAAGGTGCTAGAACCTGATCACCTAGCAGGGTCTTGGCAGCCTCTCAGCATGAATCTTAGTGTGGAGGGGCCTAGGTAAGTACTCAGAAAGGTACTAGGGACATGTCTGCTTGCAAGAAAAGGCATCTTCTTTGCCAGGGCTAACAAAAGGCATATTCTCTGCAAAGGGTACAGCAGTGTGAGGGCCAGGGCTGCTGGGACCGAGAGCCCTACTCATGGCTGCACAAGCCAGGAGGGCCTTGAGAACAGGCCCTCCCCACAAACATTAGCTGCTTTAGATGCATCTAAAGCATTTTACTCATTCACTTTTCCCAATTTGAAACCTGGCCTCACCCAGTGAGGTATGTAGTGATGTGGTAGCTTGCCCTCTGGTGGCAATGTCAGGAACAGCAAGTGCTTTTCAAAAAAAGTCAGGAAACTTCTTTTTTCTTTGAAAAGGGTCTGTCTTGGGGCGCCTGTGTGGCTCAGTTGGTTAAACGTCCAACTTCAGTTCAAGTCATGATCTCACGGTTTGTGGGTTCGAGCCCTGCGTTGGGCTCTGTGCTGACAGCTTAGAGCCTGGAGCCTGTCTTTGGATTCTGTGACTCCCTCTCTCTCTGACCCTCCCCTGCTCATGCTGTCTCTATCCCTCTCTCTCAAAAAAAAAAAAAAAAAATCCCTCTCTCTCTCTGACCCTCCCCTGCTCATGCTGTCTCTATCCCTCTCTCTCAAAAAAAAAAAAAAAAAATCCCTCTCTCTCTCTGACCCTCCCCTGCTCATGCTGTCTCTATCCCTCTCTCTCAAAAAAAAAAATTAAAGAAAAGGATCTGTCTTTTAACCTGGAAACATAGAGACAGCATCTCAAACCAGCCTTGATGTGTTTTTAGTACTTATCTTCCAAAACGAATTCAGACTTCTGGGTTCTGTTTCTGGGATATCATTACAACAATAACAAGCCAGACAAATTGCATATTTACAACTTCCCTTTAACTCATCAGTGAGCAGAAGTCACACGGCAACTAGCTAACTCCAAACCTGAGGACAGATGGGTACATACAAGGAGAAACAGACACAACTTTCATTGGGGCCGACTCAGCTGGACTATGGTAAAAAGAATTCAGCTAAAATTATTAACAAACTAGTAAAGGAAGAATGTAGCCTAGCGAAAGAATATTTAGGACCCTAGAGGCTACAGATATGAGGGAAATTCAAATGTACTTGTAGACCTCTCTCCATAGGACTCAACCTGGTGCTCACTAAAAGACTGGCAAGAATTCTGAGAAAGCATCCTTCACAGACGTTTCTCTCCTATCTATACTATAGAACAAAACTTAAATTGTGAGGGTCGGGCAACACTGTTGGCCTTAGGGACTGGGGTCTTTCGCCAGTAAAACTTGGGGTGGGAGGAGGAGATAAGAAAAAAAAACGCTCTTGTTCCCTGGGCGGGGTTGGGGGGGCAGGAATATGTACTGAGCCCAGAAGTACATCTGGCGGAAATAATCCTCCTTCCAAGATCCAGGACAATGCCTGCCTAAGGCAGAAGCTTAATTAGAATAACAAAAACATCACCCTTCCTGGTCCACTTCCATACCCAGGCTAACAAGCCTTAAGTAACAGCAGTTTAGAGCTAGAAGAGGGCCAAGACTTTGAGGAGAGAAAGGGTGCAGCAGACAGTGAGAAAAGCCTTATGGCAAAACACAAGATATCACCAGTAAAATTTGAAGGCTAAGTACGTTAAGGTAACCAGAGCAGCAGTGAAACCAAACCTACCTCAAGTCCTGACTAGACTGATCCAAACCCCATGCTAAAGACCTAGCAAAAGGAAAGGCACACTTAATTCCAAGAATCAAAGTGATGTGCCCCAGTCTTTATTGTCTTGCTCAGTATGTCTGGCTTTCACCACAAACTGCTAGCATAGGAAAAGGTAAGAACCTTTCCCCTCTCAACATTTGACACTATCAAGCATTTGATAGAATAAGAGTTAGATATGACACAGGTATTGAAACTGTGACATGGAATTTAGAATAACTGATTAAACTGAATACTCTAATAAAAAAAAAAAAAGGTGGATACCATGCAAGACTTAATGGTTAATTTCTCTCCAGCAGAGAGAAGAAATTGATAACGTCAGAGGAAGTGGGCTCCAGAACCAGGACTGTTACCAAAGATAAAGAGAAACATTAAACAATGATATACGGGTCAGTTGTCCAAGAAAACATCAGAATCCCACATATGTGCATGCTCCTAATGACAGAGTTTCAGAGTTCTAAAAGCAAATACTAACAAAAATGAAAGGAGAAACAGATCCATTATGAATCTTGGAGGCTTCATTATTTCTCTCTTCCTAACTGACAGAACAAGTAGAGAGAATATCAGCAAGGCTGCAGAAGACCCGAACATCATCAGAGAACTTGAATGAATTGACATTTATAGGATGCAACCAGAGCAGAACACATTATTTTCAAGGGTACAGGAAATATTCACCAAGATAGAACACATTCTTAGCCAACCTTAGCAAATTTAAAAGTACAGAAATCATAAAAAGCTTTTCTCAGACCATTACTAAATAAAACTATTAAACCTATAACAGAAAATATTTGGAAAATCCCCAACTATTTGGAAATTTAAAAACATGCTTCTAAATAATCCATGAGTCAAAGAGGAAGTCTTAAGGGAAATTAAAAAAATAGTTTGAAGACAATGAAATGGAATTACAACATATCAAGATTTGTGTGATGTAGCTAATCAGTGCTTGGGGGAAAATTTATGGTACTAAAATGCTTTTATTGAATAAGAAGAAAAGTTCCAAATTTGTAATCT